TGTGTATATATGCACATGTATGTCAATGCACATTGCACGTGTGCGCATATGTGTGTGGAGGCCAGAGGACAACATTGGTTTCTTCCTCTCCATCTTATTTTTTCTTTGTTTTCTTATGTGGATTTGGTGGGGGTGGGGGGGAGTACACACACATGCAAAGGTCAGAAGACAACCTGTGGGCATGTGTTCTCTCCTTGTACTATGGGGTTCTGCAAATCAAACTCAGGTCATCAGACTTGACAACAAGCACTTTCTCCTGCTGAACCATCTTGCTGACCCTCCAGCTCCACTCCACGCCACCTTTTTGAGACAGGGTCTCACTTACCATGGGGCAGCAAGGCCTTTGGCCCTCCTGACTCTGCCTCCCTAACACTGAGGTTAGAGGCACTTGCATGGCAAGCTCTTCACTGTATCACTTCCCAGCATGGAGCCAGTACTTTTTAAACACTGAAGGTGCTGCTAAGATTCCCTCCACTGTCACAGGCAAAGAGGACCATATCCCTCCTTCTCCCTCTCTGCTTCCCTCACTGCCACAAACACGCACGCACAAATACAGAGACACACACATACACATATATACAGAGACACGCATACACACATGTACACACACATATACATACAGAGACACACATACACACATGTACACACACACATATAGAGAGAGAGGCATACATACACACGTACACACACACACTTTCATACACACACATATATATACAGACACACATACACACAAGTACATTCACACTTAAACACCCATATATACATACACATAGATCTACATACACACATATATACACACACTTACACACATATATATATACAGACACACATATACACACGTACATACTTAAAAGACACATATGCATACACATGTATCTATATACACACACATATATACACATACAAACTCTTATACACACACATATATATACAGACACATACACACAAGTACATACACACTTAAACACACATATATACATACACACATATGTATACAGATGCACACAACTGACCTAATAGGAACTTATAGCAAGTTCTCCAGAGACCCCATCAGTGACTCTCCTCTGAGTCACACTCAACAGTACCAATCAAATCAATGAGCTCTCTTGGAGCCCAAATCAAGTAGAATAAAACTAAGAAATGACCATTTCAAAAAATTGTCCAGATTGACCTGTTTAGAGAAAACTTACTCCAGGAAAGGGTGGAGATCCCTTAGATAGGAACTGTATCTTATAAATGATGAAAGTAGAGACCCTAAGAGGTGAGCAGTCTGCACTTCCCATGAGGGCACTGAAGAGGGGCTGCATTCTTCCACCCACCAAAGATGCCATCCTTTTGTGGGCATCCATCCAGTGACAGTGTCACCTTGTCACCCCAAGATGCCTATGTGCTCACTGAGGCCTGTGTTGACGGGACGTTCCTGAAATTTTGGCTCTTTTGAAAAACCCAAGTGTTAGAATGGGAAGTTAGCTCAGTCAGTAAAGTGCTTGCATGCAAGCATGAGGACCTGAGTTCAATCCCTAGGATCTGCATTTAAAAGTAGATACACTCCAAAAGCTAGGCATGATTGCTTGTCCCTCTAATCTCAGCACTGGAGAGGCAGAGAGAGAATTCTTGGGGTTCACTGGGCAGCCAGATCAGCTGAATCAGCAAGCTCCAGGCCAATGAGAGACCCTGTCTTATAAAACAGGGTGGATGGTTCCTGAGGAAGGCACTCAAGATTGACCTCTGGCTTTGGTATACATGAACACACACATGTACACACACATGCACACACACACACACACACACACACACACACACACACACAAATTCAAATGCCAGCCTGAATCATCTCCAGGAAGATCATGGCATGCTGCTTTGATGGTATTTCATACCGGCCATTTCCAGTTGCCAAACTAAGACTATTGACCTCAGAGCTAAGGCCACTCCTGGACATCTGTTCTCACCGCTTGCAGTGGGTCTGGGGGTCTGGCTTCACGGGCTTCACAACAGCTATGATTTCACAAAGCAGGAACAAATGTCTCTGAGAAGTGTGTATAGTTCTAAAGTTCCTGATTCCTGACCTGGGCAGTTTACTGTCTCTCAGCACCTGAGCTCTGGTTGGAAGAACAAGCCTCCCAAGACCTGCAACTGCATCCGTGGGGGATAAGGCTACACTTAAGGGCCCCCAGAACCATGGCTCCTCTCTCCAGAGCAGGTCTTGTTCTAGAATGCTGAGCATTGTTGGTCTGGGCCTTTCTCCCTGAAGTTGGTACAGCCACTTCCAACTCATGCTTTTAGACTCTACAAGTCTTTCCGAGAGGCACAGATACAGCCACTGTGTGCTGAAGGGAACTGCTACTGAAAACCGCCAACCCTGCCTTCTCCCTCAGCCATCATGGCAGACCAAGGATAGAGGCAGGTCTCCAGTGCCTATAAACACAGCTGCTCCCACCCAGCCACAGACAGGAAGCAGATGCTGGGAGGCCAGGACGCCCAATGTGAGTATCTGCAGACAGACAGATCAAACCCTCAAAAATCACTTTTTGCTTCAGTCAGTCCCACGAGCATAGCTTCTCAGACACTTGATCCACACAGTAAACATCCTTGACTGTCCACAGGCTGGCTGCTCTCACCTATGAAATAAACTTCAAACACTGTTCCCTTCCATTCGGCCCTAAGTATGAGGTAGGAGCTGGTGTCTGCTAAATGGGAAAGCTTTGGAAAGGGCTTTGCCAAGCACTATTCTAATCAGAAGCCACTGCTGAGGAAGGTGGTGACTCAGGCCCCTGCACGACAAGAATTTGTGGAGCAGACAAAAACCCAACCAGCTATTCAGTCCTCCCCAGGGCTTCTCTGCCACAGCTGGGGAAGGGGACCATCCTACTGGATGCCAAGTCTGGGGCCTCCCAGTGAAGAGAAGAACGTGTTGCCCATGCTGCAACACATACAGCCCCCATAACAGTTTTGGGTACCCCGATTTACTGTTCTCTGAATCAGTTTTCTATTTTTGGCTCAGGCTAGTCAGGTTTGAGCTTCTAACACATGTGACTGAAGGAATTGCAACTATCTCTTGGTGTATTTGAATGTTCAATACATATATTAATTTTATAATCAAAGTAAATGTCTAAAGAGACCTCTCTGCAGCTGAGGCAGCAGAAAAGCCCTTAACAGGAACTCAAGCAATTGGAGTCCTTGCTGGGCCCATAGGAATTCTTGTGTGATTTTTGAACAAGTTTCTTAACCTGGCTGGACTGCAATAAAGAAACTAGGGTTAATGGTACCTTTTATTCCTTTGAGCTCGATGACATTCTCTGACACATATTCTTTTTCTTTTCTTACATTTCTTTCTTATTTCTTAGACATGGTCTCACTGTGTATCCTTGGCTGTCCTGGAACTTGCTATGTAGATCAGGCTAGCTTTAAACTCTCAGAGATCCATCCACTTGTCTCTGCCTCCAGAGTGCTGAGATCAAAAGCATGTGCCACCACGGCCAGTGCATTCTTTAATTTTTTGTGGTTGTTGTTGTTTGGGGGAGGGGTTGTTTGTTTTGTTTAGACAGGGTCCCATATAGCACGGGTTGACCTAGAACTCACAAAATAAGTCAGGCTGGCCTCAAACTCACAGTGATTATAGATGCAACCACCACCACCACTACTGCTGCTGCTTGGGGTCACACTTTCTGTGTGGTCCTAGAACCACACTGACCGACACAGCTCCATTAGCTACATGGGTCTGTTAGGTACTTGAAGTGTGGCTGGATCAAAATGAGCCATGGAAAAGTGCCAAACCACACTACAATGCAAAAAGAAAATCCAAGCACAGAACAAAAATGCCAAAGAACTGCCATCATTCCTAGACTGGTTCATGCTAGGAGGACAATACTTGTGCTGACCTCATGGCCCTAATCACACTGAGGAAAGTGGCTAAAAGGCCAGCTACTTGTTGTTGTTTTCACCTGCCATCCTTTTTTTTTTTTTTTTTTTTTTTTTTTTTGGGGGGGGGGTAGGTTTAAAAAAAGGGTTTTTTTAGGGTTTCTCTGTGGCTTTGGAGGTTATCCTGGAACTAGCTCTTGTAGAGCAGGCTGGTCTCAGACTCACAGAGATCCTCCTGCCTCTGCCTCCTGAGTGGTGGGATTAAAGGCGTGTGCCACCACTGCCTGGCTTTCACCTGTCATCTTGACCCACTCACTGGGCAGAGTCCGAAGCAACCAGGCTCAGCATTAAGGGTTCCATTAGAGCTAAGGATCCCACACACTAAGCAGAGGTCAGGGGTGAAGCAACTTTTGCCTTGACTATGTTGCAGCCCAGATACAGATGTGAAGACACCCACATGTCTAAAGTGTCACAGCTGGGTCAAGGCAAAGAATCCTGCACCCCAGGAAGGAGCTTGACAACCTGACTTTCACACCCCCAAAGCAAGTTCTAGTTTTAACAAGCTAGCCTTTTCATCCTAGAAAGTCACACAGGCGTGTGTAAGGTGGTCCCCTGGACACCCTTGCCTATTTGGGAGAACATACCAGGTCAAGGTGTCTTTGTTGAGGCAACAAGGAAGAGAGCAGTCAAACCAAAGCATTATTGGCTCTGGTAAGGAAGGGAAGTCACCAAGGTCTGCCTCCTACCATTGCAGGCTTTGCTTCTCAGGGGCGGCAAGATGGAAGAAAAGAGACAGCACAAGACCCCAAAGCCCATAGATGTTTGGAGGACCACGGGATAGACTGGCACACAAAGTAAGCACATACACATCTCTGTGTGCCACCTGGGCCCCATTCTTCTGTCGGAAAGTCATTCTGTTGGGGTTTTATTGTTATTATTATTTTGTTTTACTTTTTCTTGCAGTATAGGGGTTGAACTCCAGGCCTGGCACGTACTAGGCAAGTTCTCAACTACTGAGCTGCAGCCTCAGGCCAAGAAACTCGTCATGTGGATACAAGAGCAATGAGTCTTGCCATGGACTGCTCCAGCCCCCTCACCTCTCCTGCCACTGGCCCAGCTAAACTCCACAGGGCACTCACCAGGTTTTATTTCCAGGAGTCGCAGCTTTGGGTCCTCTGGCGGGTGCAATCGTCGCTTCTTGCGCCAGCAGCGGGCAGGGTACGTGTACAGCTGGCCCGGAGCAAGGCCTATTGGACAGACACAATGCAAAGATAAAAGGCTATAGAGCAGAAAGGACATCATAGACTTCCCTGCCTAACCTGTCATTCACAGTGAGAGACAACCAGAGCCCAGGGGGGTGAAGTAACTTGTTAGTGTCATTCAGCTGGTCCACAGTCGAGCCAAGGTGTAATCTATTATGTCACCCCAGACTCTATCTGTTCCATCACAATGTTCAGCAGGCCCATTGCCAGGTGGAGCTACCACCACCTTTAGCAAGAAGGTATTATCTGACTTGCGGAGACTTGTAAACCACCAGGTTTGCAAGACAGTGGCCCTGCGGTGACTGTCCCTCTGTCCAGAGCCAAGTTAAACAAGCTCCCTTCAGAGAGGAACAGCAAAAGTCAGTGAGCCTACCTGAGAGCCTCGACTGAGAAGCATTTCAAAGACAAAGGATCACAAGAGCCGTAACTGCTTACAGCATCCTCTCACCACTGACACGGGGGATCCATGGGGGCATGACCTGCCCTGGACACCTGCATGCAAAGCCTGTGTTCCTAGACTTCCTGGCCCATGTGCCAGGCCTCACACAAAGAAATGGGCAAAAGTCCATGGGATGGGTTAGCATGCCCTATCTCCCAAAGGCAGTCCCTATCTACATTTGGCCGCTAACACTACCAGCTTCATTTCTACGCCGAGCACCCTGCATACACACACATATCCCACACACACACACAAGAGAGAAGGGGGAGTATGTATATGTTATGGGATGGGAAGATGACTCAGTAGGTAGAATACTTGCTACAGTATCTCGAGGACCTGAGTCCAGTTCCCAGCACTAGAGGGCACATGCTTATAACCCCAAGTGCTGGGGAGGAGAGATGGAGACAGAGGGATCCCAGGGCCTTGCTGGCCAGCCAGTAGAGCCGAAACACCAAACTCTAGGTTCACTGAGTGACCCTGTCTCAAATAATAAAGTGAAGAGTGATAAGAAAGATACCCAATGTCAATCTTTGGCTTCTACATGCATGCATGAGTAAGCACACATGTATACACACACCACACCACCACCACCACCACCACCACCACCACCCCCAAAAACAGTTAAGAGAGATCATGGCTTCCATTGACTGGCAACCATAGCAGAATTAAAGGACCCAAAATGCCCATGTAACTTTGTATGTTAAGTACTGTTTTAATGATACAGCTGTTCTCATGTTTTTCAGGGCAGTAAATACATTAGAGGTTTGTATCTCTACTCCACTGACTCTCAGGAAGTCTTAAGGTTGGGGTCAGAAGGTTTAAGGATCAGCCTGTGCCAGATGGATAGAAGGCTAAATGAGTCAAATAAGTTATCTTGGGTTCCCCGGACATGGAGACAGGGCAGCTGTGACCTCCCTCTGAGAGAAAGCATCCCCAGAGATGGCTCCGTGTTTCTGAAGTGACTCACTTGAGGAAGATGTTATCTGTGGCCTTGTCATTCCTGAATAGACACATTCACTCTGGGCCCTGTCCAGACACTCAAACTGCCGGAGGTCCCCCAGGATCTAGGAGCCACTCCTCCACATCACAGAACAAGTCCTGGAAATCAGCACTCATCTGAGGCTAGTGACTCTAGTCCACTGAAATGGCAAGGACCTGGAGCACTCAGAAGTTCCAGAGCCCGAAGTCCACACCAGCCCTCTTATCCAAAGGGAGGTAGGCCTTTATGAGAACTCAACCACTGTTTTTAAGGAACTTTATAGGTTGTTTTAATGCCTACTGAGAACATCTGGAGGCCTGAACAGCATCTACTAGCTGCTTGCCTGTCGTCGCTGATGTACCAAGACTGGTTTAATAGCCTTTCCTGTAGGATCCTAAATCCCGTGTATTCCCCCAAGGTAATATAATTAATTGCCTGCATACTAGTGTCTCCCCTGCTGGCTTTGAAAGAGCTTGGATGGCAGGAATCATGCCATCTCTAGTGTCCCCTATATTTAGCACACCATACTTGGCAGGCACATCTAGGAATCATCATATAAACTCAACCAGAACTAAACAAGACTCAGAAATGCAAGAGGAAAGAACCATTGGCCCTGAAAGTCCTGGCTCCGGGGTACTCATTCACCGAGATATAAACCGTTCAAGGGCTGGGGGTATGGCTTAGCAGTAGAGACCTTACCTAGCATGTGCAGGACCTTCCCAGAACAACAAGGAAAGAAAATGTCTTGTTTAACAAGCTATCCAAGGACTCTGGGGGGTGGGCTCTGGCCTTAGTTCTGAGCCCACCTGTTATAATTTTAAAAAGAAACAGCATGGAGTCACACCATACAACAGGGTTCACATGGGAGGTTTATTGGAAGAGGAGAGAGAAGGAGCAGAGAAGGGGGCAGAGAGTGGGGCAGAGACTGGTCCCTGGGGACAAGAATGCTAAAAGACAGACAGAAGACAGACAGACAGACAGACAGACAGACAGACAGACAGAGACAAAGAGAGAAAAAGAGACAGGAGGTGGGTAAGGCCCACCTTTTACTAGGGAACATAGTGAATGTACACAGGAGGTGTCCTTAGTGGCTGCAACTGAGGACATATCCTGCCAGGACCCCAAGGGCAGGCCAATGCAGATGCCTGAATACTAACACCACCCACATCTGTGTGGCCATCTCTGTGCCATGAGTTGTCTTCTTGCCCCATCCTCTTTGCTCCCTGGTATTTCCAACCTGAACCAAGACTAATAAATGAGAAGCTCATCCTTCCCAGCTTCTCAAAGGGTCTAAGGATGCATAATTTGAAAATGTCCACACTGGGTATTAAATGCTCTCTATACTCTAGTCACTGGCCTGTGGGTTAGTGGGACCAAAGCCACCCTCCTGGTAGCTTGCATCCACTCTCCTGAAGAGCTAAGGTTAGCACCAGTATGGATATGGAAGAAAGGCTGTTTTTAGTTTCTAGCTTAGAGAAGCCCTGTGGTGCAGAAGAACCTCACACACATGAGCATTAGAAAACATCACAGCCCCTGGCTGAGCCTGCCTCCTGCTCAGGGCCATCAGCAATGCCTACCGCAGGGGAGGGTGGTGGGAATTAGCTGATTTTGAAAGGGAATCTCTCTGCAACCATGAAGACTGGACAGGTGTCGGTTACTGACCATCACAAGCTCATTGAAACAGATGAGCCTTGGACCCTGTGCCCATGTGACAACTTTGTCCTTGCCACTGCTTGGCTCTTCAGCCACCGGGATGGACATGTGCTTCTCTTTGCATTTTACTTTGAATCCTCCTTGTTTCAACAAGTAAATGGGCCCCAAATCACTCCCCTAGGGCTCCTCAACCCTTCCCTCACCCTGCTTGACAGGCTGACAGTCACCAGGGCCCCTTTATAGGACCAACACATTCCATCAACTGTTGCCTCTATGGAGGGGAGAGCAGAGACCCGTGAGACTGATGTTGTTTATCTCATTAGAAGGGGGGCACATAACTCAAAGGCCTGTGTGTAGGGAAGACAGAGGGAGGAGGAGGAAGAAAGGGAAGGAGCCGGAGCCACAGCCACTCTCAGGGGAATTAACCTTGAGGACTGAGCCTAGGGTTAGGGTGGGTATAAAGGAGAGGAAGAGGGAGGCCCAAGACAAGAGGGGGGACCAATCCTCCCTGGCAACCAAGACCACAGCTACCCCTCCAGTCACTGACCCCCTGTGCAAACTGTAGCCCTGTTGCCTAGAGCTGCATCTCCAGTTCCCACACTCTGCCTGTGTGAAAGCACAGATGCAACAGGCACCCTCATATAGAAATTTGCATGCTTGCTGGGTGAACTGGTTCCACAGAAAGCTGTGCTGTGATGAGGCTCAGGCTTAAACGGCCAGCAGGTTGCAGACAAATACCTGGTTCACATTTGGGCCTGAGTATCTCTGACAACGCCTGAGCTAGGAAGAACTGAAAAGACAAAGTGACATAGAAAAAGCACAGGGAAAGAATTAAGTAGAGCAGAAAAGGACTGAGTAATTCACTCTTGCTCCAGTCAGATTCAAAGGGTGGAAGTTCAAGTCCACTGAGGGGAAGGTTCTTTCCACGACATCCCAAAGGTGGACCCACGGCTACAACCCAAGCCTCCCTGTAATGGAAGGAAAAGTCATACATTCACAGGGCAGTGTGCTAGCCAACACCTGTGCTACCCTGACTTTATTCAGAATCCTATTTTACCTCCCAGAATTTAGGCCAGTCTGTCTACTTCTCAGCCAGCAGTCACCACACACCACATACCCACTCATGTTGAAAGGAATCAGCCAAGACACCAAGGGAACCAGAGAGGAATGGGAGCACAAGGAGGTAGGGGCATCTGCTTGGAGCCAGATGACAGGATCAGAGACCACAGATGAAGATCCCAAATGCTGCTGGCCATTCATCATCTGTCTGCAGCCCCACCCAAGCCAGTCAAATGAGAAGGCACACATGAGGCTCTTCTTGGGGCCATCAGTCCCATTTAAAGAGCTCCTCCACATCTCACTCCCATTATATGTCACCACAATGGGTCATTAATGGCCTTCACATTTACAGGCAGACAGTGACATGCATTGAGAATTCTTCACCAAGACTGGGCGTTGAGTAGTTCTTGAACTTTTAAAACTGAACTAGAATATCACAGACATGCCGAGGCAGTTATAAAGGGGAAAATGCCTGCATAAGGCATTTTGCACAGATAACTCTTTCTCATATCACAGGGGCTCTGTCCATTCCCCTGGTTGAGAAGCATCCATTTGGACCATCCTTACAGGGATGGAGAGATGAGCACAAGGCCCAGATAGACAATGAAGAGTGGGCAAGTGTGTTTCCTAAACACACCAGAGCTGTGACCCTGGAGCTCTGACCAGCCTCCCAGCTTAGCTAAAATTTGCCCTGTTTTCAAGGTCATGAAGCATTCCTGACCCACCCCTAAATGATAAGTCTGGGCATGAGCACCACACTCCAGAATATAGTCCACATCACTGAGGACATCCCTCCTGCTTGCTCTCTCTAAGATTCCATCCTGGAGTCCCTTAAGTGTCAAGACTAGCTTGGCT